CCCCCCCCCCCCCCCATCAACATGCTCTTAATGTTTCTTTTATGCAAACGTCAATCATGCTTACGTCACTTATATGGGGTATCCACTATTCCGTACACACACCCCTAAAAATTAAGGTTTAATTTTTATAACTTCAAACCGAATATCAACGTATATATTAAATGTTCAGTCCTCTTCCAACTGCGTTGGTTCATTTATTTTCTCGATTGCTTTCTTTGCGGCTTGACTCTGAGGTCTCTTTTCTTTCTCCGATTCCTTTTCTTTAACTTCTTTGTGTCGTTCTTTTGGTGTGCAGTGAATCTCAAGCGGACAGATCAACTGTAGTGGACAGATCAACTACACCGTCCTTTCCACGAACTTGTCGAAGCACTTTCCTTTTTTTCCATTCTCCCCTGTTCTTCTCTTCTCCCACTACCAGGACAACGTCTCCAATCTCTGGTGCTTCGACAACCTTGTTATTGACTCGTGGCTCTTCAGTAAACTATGCACATATTCCCGCTTCCATCGTTTCCATGCATCATCTTTTGCTTTTCTAAGTCTTCTTTGCATCTTGGTTAGCTCGTCTCTTCATCTTCAACATCGTCGAACATGTAAGAGTTTTCTCCCCAAATGAGTATGTTTGGCGTCAGGACTTGTTCCTCCCCACCATCACATTCTACGTAAGTTAACGGACGGTTGTTCATGTTGCTTTCGATATTCAATACAGTTCAATACGACCTATTCCAAACCATCGAAGAATAGGTGTGATTTTCCCAAGGTATTGTGTAAAGTTTTCTTAATTTCACGAATCAGCTTCTCGTAGATGCCTCCCCACCATGGGGACTTTGCCAGATTAAATCTCCAATGGATATCTTGGGTTGCGAGGAAATCCTGAAGCTTCTCGCTTTTTCGAATTAGCTTAGTCCACTTTGCAGTCGCTTTGAAAGTAGCAGCATTATCGGAAATCATCAAGCGAGGTCTTCCTTTACGTGCGATAAATGCGTTAAGTTTTCGCTGAAATTCACAAGCTTCTTGAGTTTTAGTTAGTTCCAAATGAACGGCTCTGCATGCAGCGCAAGTAAAGTCAGATTAGAACGTAACACTTTCCTTCTTCCTTTTTGTTGACCTTGTAACTAAACGGTCCGGCATAATCCACGCCAGTGATCTCAAATGGCTTGCTGGTCTCAGTTCTAAATTTAGGCATGTTTCTTGTCGCTGTCGCTCCGTATGGTTTCGTGGAGTACAGTTTGGAAACGTTGCAATTCTTTATCACCTTCTTTACCTTCGATCTTAGTTGAGGGATCCACCAGTTTTCTCGCAAGGCGGCCATTGTATTTGCAACGCCTAGGTGCATAATTTGATTGTGTGTATGTGTGATAAGCTTCTCTGCAAACAATCCTCTTTCGATAAATGTTGGAGTATATTCCCGAACCCTGCATTTGAGAATGTTTGTGTTCTTGTCTTCGAAGCCAGTGAGGTTAATATTTCTCTGAATCCTTATCACCCGTGTATTCTTTGCTTTCACGATTTCTTCGTTTCCAATGGGCCCAGACCACTCAAGACCGCTGAACCATCCGTCGTTTACCATTTTCTCAATTGTAGCTCCTCTGCTGCCTAGATCCGCCAAGTTCTCACTTGATGGACAATACTTCCACACCAAACTGTAATAATATATGCTAAAATATGTAATTTATTATGCCATATAAATTGTATATAAGGCGGTGCTGTTTTAATACAAGAAGGGAAACCCATTGTATATGCATGCATCTAAGTCACTTACACAAACTGAAATTAATTATGCACAAATAGAGAAAGAAATGTATGCCATAATATTTGGGTGTAAAAAATTTCATCATTATATTTATGAGCGAAGGATACGAGTGGAGACTGATCACAAACCACTCATTCCTATTAGTAAGAAACCATTGCATGCTGCTCCTCCCAGAATACAGAGGATGTTGGTTCAATTACAGAAATACGATGTAGACCTAGTGTATGTTCCTGGTAAATTGATTCCTGTTGCTGATACTTTGTCACGCAACTGCTTATCCGACACATGTCCAGACGTTATGAGCAGTGTCAATGTACGTGTGCATGCAGTATTATCTAATTTGCAAATTTCAGATAGAAGGATACAGAATATTAAATTTGAGACTGGCCGAGATGTACAACTTCAATTGCTAAAATGGACCATCCTAAATGGTTGGCCTGAAACTAGGAAACAATGTAACACTTTAATTATAGAGTACTGGAATTTCCGAGAAGAATTATCAGTTGCAGATGAGGTTACATTAAAAGGGGGAAAGATTATAATTCCCAAGGTGCTTCGAACAGAGATTTTAGGTGTCCTTCACACTCGACATATGGGGATTGAGAAATGTTTGAAGAGAGCACGTGCTACTTTATTTTGGCCCAAATTGTCTTCTGATATCACTAAGTTGATATTACATTGTCGTGTTTTCTTAAGATATAGTTATTCAAACCAGAAAGAGCCCCTCATTAACCATCCAATACCTGATCGACCATGGCACGTTGTGGCGACCGATTTATTTGAATGGGATAGGAAAGATTTTCTTTTGGTTGTTGATTATTATAGCTGTTTCTTTGAAGTTGAACAGTTGCAAAGTACTACATCAATTAGTGTCATCAAGAAAATGAAACCAATGTTTGCAAGATATGCAAGATATAAAGGGTAGTCTCTGATAATGGGCCCCAGTACTCGTCACAGGATTTTGCTAGAAAATATAATTTTGAACATGTTACATCTAGTCCATATCACCCCAAATCTAATAGGTTAGCTGAGAAATACGTACGGATTGTTAAGAGAGTATTTGAGAAAGATAGATTGGATAGGCAGGATCCTTTAATAGGTATACTTGAGTATCGATCTACACCTCTTGATATAGGTTATTCACCAGCAGACTTTTACAGGGAAGGTTATTAAGATCTGTTATTCTATACTTCCCCAACAGTTAGAATCTAAGTTTATAGACCATTCTGTGGTACGATCTAAGCTTGAGTCCAAGAGAGCACACGAAAAGAAGTGTTATGACAAGGCTGCAAAGCCCTTACCACCGCTTGAAGTAGGACAAGGTATTCAAATACAACAGAAAGATAAAACATGGAGACCGTGCACTGTCTTAAAAAGGGTAAGAGATAGGTCATTTATTGTAAATTCCCAAGGTGGGTTAAATCGCCGAAATGGACAGCAACTTATTCATAGATCTGCTAAATTCCAATCCTTTGAACCTAGTAGTGAAAGCCCCACGGGAGATATTCAAATAACTAGGAATAACACAGGTAAGTCTCGAATATCGCCCATACGTACAAGCAATGCACCACATGCACCATGACAGCTATTGCAAAGTAAATTAACGGACAGTTCCAATGATACTACACCCGCAATATCTAGTCAAACAAAAACAGGATCATATGTAACTAGATATGGTAGAGTCGTTAAGCCAAGAATTATGTTTTCATGTAATTAGTAATAAGTTTATCATAATTAAGCAAACGGTGTAGAACATCACAAAAAAATAGGTTAATGATTCTTTGTAATTAGAATATTAGAATTGAATTGTATTTAAAATAATAAAGTTAGCTAGAATAGGCCCCCTCGTAAAAAAATTTTAAAAAAAAAGAGATGTAATAATATATGCTAAAATATGTAATTTATTATGCCATGTAAATTGTATATAAGGCGGCCATTTTATGTGAGTTCGTACTTGTAATAAAGATACTGGCCTGAGCGTGTCGTTGTTCTGTCCTGAGATTAGCAAGAAACCAAAGAAATAATACACAAACCAATCTCGTTGGTAATTTCTGCTATTTTCTTAACTCTATTAGTGACGAAGGTCATCCAAGGCTTTCCGGGGTTACTTAACCAGTAAAGCGCGACCATACTGTCCATCCAGATGATGATAGACTTAACAGGCAATCGCAGTAGCGCATGGCCGGTATAAATTCCTTGCCATGTTCGTCGCCATTTGACCACTCACAAGTTCCAACCTCGGTATTGTGGTGCTCTTTTTGGAAATTCGAGATTTGGACGTTAACAGACCTTTCACAGTTCCTCATTTGTGCTCCACCACTGCGACTGTTGCTGCACAGCAAGCAAAGTTACTAGCATCTGCAAACAAATGGAGTTGAATGGCTTCAATCACGTCCGATTTCTTAGTTATAGCTCTGGGAACTTTAATATTCTTCATTTGATTGTTCCACTTGATCCACTTCCTTTTCAAGGATTCTGACACTTCAGCGTTCCAACCTTTTCTTTCTTCACAGGCATCTCGAAATATGTACTTACTCTCAGCCATGGGAGGCGATAGCATTCCCAAAGGATCTTAGACTCTTCCTAACCGACTCAAAATGCTCCTCTTTGTTACTGGTTGGTTCTCAGGCATGGTTGCTGCTTCGAATTCTAATGTATCTTCTTGTTTATCCCAGACGTGTCCGAGTATTTTACTTGGGTTTGGCATGTTTTTGTCTTCGAGGCACACGATGTTTGATTCCCACTTGTGGATTGGGAATTTGGCATCCTCAAGAATGCTGAAGCTTTCTTCTTTAAATTTCCTCAAGTCGTCAGTATCACTTCCAGTTTTCATGATGTTATCAACATATGTATTCTCTTTAAGAGCTGTCACAGTTTGCTCAAATCTTGTCGGCTGTTGCTCAAGGTGGTATCCCAACGTTGCTCCAAGCACAAAGGGACTGGCTTCGACGCCGATTGGTAATCTTGCAAACCGGAAATGTTCCTCTTTTCCATCGATTTCGAACAGGAATCGAAAAGCATCTCTGTCCGTTTCCTTAACTCCATTTTGCAAAAAGGCTTTCTGGATATCTGCCAGAAGTAGATTTGGTGTCATACGCGCTCTGATTAAGATGTCCCAAAGTAGTGGTTGCAAGGACGGTCCAGTGAACATACATTTGTTAATACTGTTAGCCAATGGGGCTGGTTTAGCGCTAGCATAAAAAAAAACATTCTGATCTTTGTTGTTGTTGCGTTTTCCCTGATCACAGGCTTGTGAGGCATGTAATATGTACGTTTTTCTGCTGGCTTTTCTGGGGCTTTTTCTACGATGCCATTGGCAAGCTGATCTTTAACTATCTTTTCACACTCTACTTTTAATGATCGATCTTTACTCAACTTCTTGTTGACATTGGCTAGGCGTATTCTGCTTGGCTGTTCGTTAGTACCGTACAATCTGGCTCCAGGAATCCATGGTATACTTACTTCATATCGACCGTCCTCTTGCCTTGTGACACTTTCTCGAAAGTCAGTCAGCACCTCCATCTGGTCTTTTTCGCTGCTGTCCTCAACACCGAGTACATCCAAACTGTAAAGCTGCTCACACTCATTGGTCTCCCGAACAAACATGCACTGGTCGCTACTGTAATCATCTCCCCCATGGATAAGCCAACCGAAAGTGGTTTCTTCGACTACTGGATCTCCTTCATTCCCCTTGAGCACTTGTTCTGTTCTGATTCTGCTGTAATTTTTATCTCCCAAGATGAGGTGTATTGGATAGTTGCATGACAAAATTTCTGTTTCAACTGGCTAATGTCAGGTCTTCGTACTGTTGTGAATTCGCACATCTTGGAACCGGTTACTTGAATCTCTTCCTGCACAGTTCCACGCAGGGAATTAATACTGACTTGGTAGATTGGCATAGATTGCTTACTGATACCATTCAATGTTACAATTTCTCTAGACTCATGGTGAACTGGGGTTAACTTCAGTTTCTTTGCTGCATCCCGAGAGATGAAATTCCTTCCAGACCCTGTGTCAAGAAACGCCCACAATGTTTCTTCGCCTATTTTGACAGGAACTATGGCTGGGAGGGACTTTTCTTCTACAAATGTACTGTAACAATGTAACACAGGCTCTATAGCTGGTTTATCTGGTTTCTTCTTGCTACACAAGCTGCTATGGTATTTCGATCCACATTTAAAACAGGCACGACTACGACATTGGTTTCCCCGGTGCCCTGCTCGCCCACAATTAAAACACAATTTCTTTTCGAAGAAAAACTTCTTTCTTTGTTCCATTGTCGAAAGTGTCTTACACTCATCACTCCAATGCTCTTCTTGGCAAAACATGCAATGTGGGTTTTGTTTTCCTTCATTCTTGCGAGTGAACCAATTTCTATCCCTTAAGATCTTCCATATTCCAATCTTCCCACTTTTCATCCACTCTCACGATGTCAGGTTTGACATGGGACAACTTATTTAGGGTGGTCATAACAAAACCTTGCAACATATCTCCCTGTTCCAAAGTCTACAAGGCGTCATAGTTATTGCTAACTCCTGATTCTTTTCATAGCTTGACCCTTTCACCGCAGCTAGATTGATTATTTCGTCCAAATGGGCATTAATTACCGAATTGGTTTGGCCATATTCTTGCTTTAAGTCGATCCCATGCCATTTTATATCCCAAAGTACTTGGTTTTAGATTTGATATACCTTTGATACAACTGATTCAAGGAGATCGATATCCAAACTTTTCTTCATCTGAGATGGGTCTTTTATCGACTTGTGTGAGAAAGATATTCTCAAAACGAACCCAATCTGCGGCAGTTCCTTTAAATGCAGTGATTTTCAGTTGAGGAAGTTTCGCTAGACTGCTTTTCGCAGATTTCTCCAGCTGCTCAGCGGCGAACTTTTCCTAGTCCCACATTGCGCGTACTTATCTTTCGTGTCCTTTTTCCATTGTCGTATTGCTCTCTGAGTTTCAGCTCCTCGATCAATTTTAAAGGACATTGGCAACGAAATTTTTTATTGGCTATTTCAATCCTACTTGACAACCGAACTATGAAAATATTATCATTTCCTTTTTGAACATTTTAGTCTACGAGTACAATGCATACAAACTTTGTGTTTCGGCCAGTTTCGCCGCCATCTTGGAAAATATTTTTGAAAAATTGTCTCGAAGGTTAATGAACTTTGTGACGTCATTGGCTGGGTAGCACCAAAACTACAAGAGAGAATTCTATTGCGTGCGTATTATGTTAGCTAAAAATATGTCGTTTTGAGCGTTATACTGGCCAACACTCTTCGCAATCAAACAAGAGAAGTCTACACTATCAGATAAAAACATATCGAGCGACTGGGAAAGCAAGAAATGGCGCAATTTACAATGCAGGTAGTTGATCATAAAATATTGCATTAGTATTTGCCTTGTTACACTCGAATGTCTGCGCTTATTTAACAAGGAGTAGGATATATACTATGAGAAATAGTGTTACAAACAAGTTACATACTTGGTAAAACTTTTCTGCCTTTTGTTTTGGCTCAAAATGCACTACGCGTGGTAACACACGGTATTGTAATATAGTCATGAGATTGTGTTTACCCAGCCAATGACGTCAGATAATGTATTTTGTGGCATAAATTAGCATACGCGCTTACTTTCAAAATGGCGGACAACTGTTCTAATTTTCTCAAATTCAATCAAATTTTCTCAGCAACTAAACGCGACAAACCGGCCAAACTATGAAATTAAATATTCCGTAAGTATACCTAATAGATATAAGTAATAAAAATTTTGGTTGCCAAAGTTCTTTAAGCTCTTGTACACTTGCAACAAGATTATTTACCTTGTCAAATATGGCGTCTATTCGTTTCTTTGCAACTTCGATCACTGCGTAATCGCCTTCTTCAATAATAACGTCAATTGGCTCGAGATACAACTTTAGTTTTTCGATTTCCTTGTCTATTTCAACCTCTTTCTGTTTTTCTGCTGCCTCCTCGTTCATTGTTATATCTTCCACGTCGTACAAATTGACAGATTCTCGTATTTACATCACGGCACCACTTATATACCGAATTTCTCTTGTTAAATTGTTAACAGGTATATAACCACAGAAATCACAAAGACAAATTATATTTATTTGTATAAAAATATAGAACTCTCACGCTCACAACTCACTTGTATTGTTTTGTCTCGTCTCACATAATCAAATAATAACGACCCCCCATCAACATGCTCTTAATGTTTCTTTTATGCAAACGTCAATCATGCTTAAGTCACTTATATGGGGTCCACTATTCCGAACACTCACGTGACTATTATTATTATTATTATTATTTAAATTTATATTGCGCGAGGTTCCATAGGGAGATGCTCACCTGCGCATTACATAATTGATAAAACAAGTGTATGTACATGAAAAGCTAAAATTAATTAAGTAAAAATTATGTGTTCCTAAAGTCTCATTGAATATCAATTCAAGTTCAAATTTCTATATATAAGTACGCATATATGTCCAAAGGTATATCAACTAATAAATAAATTAATAAAATGCAATCTTAAAAAGGTGTGTCTTTACTAATTTTTTAAAATGGTCCACTGTTTTTGCACTACGAATGTCATTTGGTAGTGAGTTCCACAAATTGGACGCTGCTGATATAAACGCGCGATCGCCTAAAGTTTTCAGTGATTTGAACTTTGGCTGTGAGAGTAGTAATTGATCATTCGATCTGAGATGATATCTAGATGGTGCTTTTACACAGATCAGTTCATGTAGATATTCAGGAGCTAGTCCATGAATAACTTTGAATGTTATTAGTAGAATCTTGAAATCTATCCTGAATTTCACTGGAAGCCAATGTAGATGTATCAATGTGGGAGTTATATGGTCAAATCGTGACATATTACAGATAAGCCGGGCAGCAGTATTTTGTACTCTCTGTAATTTCAGTAAGTGAGTAGCAGGTGTCCCAAACAACAGGCTATTGCAATAGTCTAAGCGGCTTGTTATTAAGGCATTGACCAAAGTCTTTATACTTTCATTGTCCAGAAATTTCCGAATTTTCCTCAGATTATATAGATGGTAGAATGCAGCTTTGCAAACTTTATGTATATGAGTCACCATGCTAAGTTGCGAGTCAAACCAGCAACCCAGATTGCGAGCTTCACTAAGTGGTGTTAGTTGAACGTTGCCTACTCGAAGGGTGTCAACACTGACTTTGGCCAGTTGTTGTCTTGTGCCTATAATCATGAGCTCGGACTTCCCATCATTTAATTTGAGTTTGTCAGCGAGCATCCATTTCTTAATGTCATCAATAGCATTCTGCATTGCTGTAACGGCAGTGATTTGATTCATGGCATCGTCGGGTTTAAATGCGAGGTAGAGTTGTGTATCATCTGCGTACATGTGAGAATTGGGGAGGTGACTTTCAAGTATATCAAATAATCTGCTTGCGTATAAAATAAAGAGCAGAGGACCCAGACATGAACCTTGCGGTACCCCGTACTGCAAATCAAATGTCTTTGACGTTGTTCCATTTACCGTAACAAATTGGCTGCGCCTGGTAAGGTATGAATTAAACCACTTATGAGCAGAGCCCGTAATACCAAAAGTTGAATTGAGTCGATTAAGGAGGATAGTGTGATCGACAGTGTCAAAGGCCGAGCTCAAATCTAACAATACAAGTAATACGACATGCTGTTTGTTCATGCTAGTCAGTATATCGTTCTTTACTCGAAGAAGAGCGGTTTCGGTACTGTGAAGCTTACGATAGGAGGACTGATTCTTTGGATAAAGGTTGTTTTCCAAACAGTGTTGGTTAATTTGGTTAAATGCAGCTCTTTCCGTAAGTTTAGAGACAAATGTTAAATTGCTTATCGGACGCAAGTTCATAAATGCAGATTCAGCACCAGGCTTCTTGAGGCGCGGATGGACATCGGCCAACTTCCAGGGTTCTGGGAATGTCCCCACCTCAAGTGACAGATTGATCATCCTCGTGATGCTGGGGAGAAGAACATCCGAGCACTCTAATACCAGGGGTGTGGGCATGGGGTCTAAAGAGCACGACTTCTTACTTGATTCAGCGATAAGTTCCCTCACATCTTTCTTATCAAGTTTGTTAAAACTATCAATGGGGGTGACGGAGTGTGAGACAGTACACGAGGTAAAGTCTTCAGTAGGATTAACAGAATCAAGTTCAGAGCGTACACGGTCGATCTTGCGCACAAAGTACTCTCCAATATCATTGGCTAGGGCAGAAGAATTACGATAGTCAGGAAACGTCAATTCTGATTTCTGAACAAAAAGCGACTTTGCGGCTCGGAAGAGTTTACCCTGATCGTTACTGTTTTCCGCTATAAAGTTAGTATAAAAGTGACGGCGCGCTCTTTTCATAAAAAATGTTGCATAGTTACGTAAGCGAATAAACATGGCTACTCAAAGGGATATTAATCATAGAAATAATAGATATCTATTATTTCTATGATATTAATGCAAGCTCTTCAACTTCCTCAACTGTTTCACTGGACATTGAGAACAAGGGATCAGCAGGGATGTCCATTCTCGTACCCAGAGCCCTTCTTACGCGCGGTGCGACGAGGGGCTCTGGCCAAATCCATAACCAGATACCATAAAAACATGGTAAGAGAACATTTTCCGGTGTTAGAACTAGCCAATCAGATGCCAGTTCGGAATATGGTTTTGGCCAGGGCCCCTCGTCGCACCGCGCGTAAGAAGGGCTCTGGGAACGAGAATGTAGGGATGTCGAATTTAGGTCTGCCCTCGATCCCAGTACGATCAGGGACGTCGCGAAGCCATCAATATTGGGGGTGTCGTCATGTTTTGACCAACATTTCCTAGGATTTTGACCAAGTAGTACAAAGTTTACCGAAAATGTTGTCGAAGGGGAGGAAAATAAAAAAAAAATTAGGCTAATTAAACTAACATAGGCATATTGAACATTTTTCCACCAAGATAAGCAAGGCTTCCAAATTTTTTAACCGCAAACATAACAAAAGCTTTAATTTAAAATTGTTAAAATTGCCAACAATTTCATGACTTTCAGCAACTCGACCATCTTTAATCCCAAACTTTGACCAAATTTTTCCGAGTTTTACCTTCAATTTTAAGCAAATATCAGTTCCATTTTTACCAACTTTGGGCAAATACCTGTTCCATTTTGACCAACTTTGACCAACGTTTGAATTATTGGAGGTGTGTTACACCCCTATAGCGACGTCCCTGAGTACGACGAACAGGACAAATACAGCCAAGTTCAGCAGAATAATCTTTATGCAAAGAGCACATCTCCGCATACTGGTCGCATAATTTCCGTAGAGTAGAGTACAATTGGAAAAAGCAAGTCGTACTCCTTTGCACTGCCATTATTGGCGTTATGTTCTAAACAATTATGAACAATTATTCCTACAGCGAATGCGCTATCATCTAATCTCCTCACGAAATTTCCACACCGATAATGTCAATACATTGGATGGTAATTCCAATGTATTGACATAATCGGTGTGGGAATTCCGTTCGGCTTGACGAACAAGCGAGGATAAAGAATACAAGAAAGATTCTAGATCATCCGCCATCTTTGGTACATTTAAAAACTCATACAAACCATTATACCAACTCATACATGCAGTTCTTCGGTTTTTCACGAGTACAACCTTTTTCAACATATATATTTTAATATATTTTTTCAACATATATTTTTTTTGTCAACATATATATTTTAATATATTTTTTCAACATATATAATTTTTTTCAACATAATATATTTTTCCTACATACGATGTAATTATTTCATTTTGATATCAATGTATTTCTTTAATTGCAACATATATATTTGACTGACAGTGTAACTCAATATATATATATATTTTTTTTTCAACATATATATTTTTATAACGTGTATATTCACATTGGAACATAAATATTTTATTTACAACATATTGTCATACATGGCTTGCCATAGCTGAGTTACTTAAATCATAAACAATCAGTTCGGTATAAGGAGTAGGTCTATGATAATACTAACAGCATCGACTTCATCTGAAAATACAGAAAAGAGACTATTAAGCACCGAGCAAGTTTCCCTTGATGAGACGAGCAAGTTTCCCTTGACAATTTACCTTGGTACAGTATCGAAAACTCTAAACTATCCAATGCTTCGATATATCGAAAGAATGCCATTTCTTCATTATATTAAAAGAATGCCATTTCTTCATTATATTAAAAGAATGCCATTTCTTCGATATATCGAAAGAATGCCATTTCTTCGACATAACGAAAGATTGCAATTTCCTCAATATATCGAAAGATTGCAATTTCCTCGATATATCGAAAACTAAACTATCCATGGCTTCTGTATATTGAAAGAATACCATTTCTTCGATATATCAAAAGATTGCCATTTTTTCAATATGTCGAAAACTCTAAACTATCCATGGTTTCGATACATCAAAGAAATGGCATTGTTTCGATATATCGCAGAAATGACATTCTGTCAAATTATACAACATGTGAAAAACCAAAAGGATGTCACGTCTTGCCAATGTATGTCATGTCTTGCCAAAACAAGCAATGTTTTAAATATTGATAGTAAAACAACAAAGTAGGGCACAATTCAGCTCAATGGGTTGCAATATGGTATACACTCAAAATATAACACATTCTACGATAGGGTTGCATATTCTATTTAGCTATAATCAAAATAATCACATGTACAGTCAGGCCTGTCAGGGTCGCGAAGAGGGGGGGGGATTGCCTTGGGCCCCCACCTTATTAATAGGGCCCCAACTTGATAGCAAGAGCCTAAAATTGAGTAGGTTCTATAAAGAGCATTTTTAAAATTGAGGGCTACTTACAGTACCTCCACACGCAGTCTAGCTAAGGTTTAGTTGGGACTAGCTTAAAAGTAATGCCATGGGGCCCCCAGGAAGGTTTGCCCATAGATATAGGAGACCTAGATTGCTGACTTGGCTGAAGAGGCGCGCCAAATTTGAAAATCCAAGATGGCGGCTCAACCGATCAAAAATCATAGAGCGAGATAGGGAAAAACCATGTTTTTTGCATTTTACGTCGTCCTTCTGTTTCCAATCCCGTTGAACCACCTTTTTTTTGGAAGAGCTAACTGGTGTGAAAGTTTTGGATGTATATTGGTTATAATTAGTACGATTTACAGTTTAAAATTCAACCGGGCAAGAATGGGCAAAGACGAAAATGGCGCGAAACTGCCGGCCTGGTTTCTTTTCCTGTGTATTCCTCGAGTCTTTTACCAGTTTTTCTACAGTAATGTAACGTATATTTGACTATTCCAAAAGTTACTATTATTTATTTTGTTCTTTCATTGTTATTTCGACCAAAATACAGTATTTTCGTCTGAAAATTCTAGGGCATTCTATTCTAAAAAATCTGTTTTTCTATCGAAAAGAATGCCTTGAATCTCGGCCTGTTTTGTGTGCTGAGTATAACTGCAAGGCCAGACGTGGGGATTTAAAAGATGGTATTCGCTTGTCCTTCCATAAGTAAGTCTATGAAACACACATATCGTATATTTGTACACTATAATATACTTCATATAAACAATAATATAAGACTATTAATTAAAATAAGACAGCTTTTAATAGCATAAAAACAATTTGTTTTGTAAATACAATAATGACAACAAATGTAGTTTTGAGCTTGTTGGCTACAATGTAAAACTGTTTGCAGTTTTAGTAAAAGAACATTAGACCAAAAAGAACTTCTTGTTTTGATGTCTGTGTTAGGAGTCTATATATATATATATATATATATATATATATATATATATATATATATATATATATATATATATATGCATGTTGACAATAACTTTCATAGAGGTCCTTGTCCTGTAGAAGGTCAAAAAAATGTGAGTTTTGTTCATATCAGTGAACCAAAAATACATATTTCCCTTCACACTATTTAGATTTCCTATAACCAATCCCAGCCGGCTAGCTAAAAAGTTGGATAACAGCAATGAAATGGGCAGACTGGATGCCAACCAAATATTCAGTATTCTGCGAGAAACAACTTACTCCCAACAACTATATTAACCCATTAAGTCACATTGTGCCGCCCTAATGTGCCCTACTTTATTATTTTATTTTGTCTAACAGCATTACGGCAGATGATTTTACTTGTCAAGGGGAGAGTGTTGGTACTTAATGGGTTAACTGGCCATGGGTCCGGTTAACCCATTGAGACGCACCCTACTTTATTATTTTACTCTAACACCAGATAATTTTACTTGTCAAGGGGAGAGTCCTTACTGCTGGGTTAGTAAGGGAAAGCAATTAATAAAAGGCCAATCCAAGAAATAGCTGAAAGAATATGCTGTCCCATCTATTTTTGATTGATATCAGTGATAAATCAACCAGGTTTCTTGGAGAAAACTAGATATACTGTGAAGGTTTTTGATGCATACTAGACAAATTAGTCAGTTTCTTCAAAATAGTTTCCATTGAAAACTTTTGCTGTCTCTAGTTCTCTTTAAAATCTTGATTGTTTCATCACTTTTCACTGTCCAGGCCATATAGATTTGAGATTCCTTGACATCTGCAGCAGCAAGGATGTCATCAAAGTCACACTAAACACTTGTAAACAGAGCATCAGAGTTTTCGCACCAGCAGACCAGGTAAATCAAGCAAAATAGGTTTTAAACTTCAAAATACTTCACAATATTATTCCCTGTTATATATCCCAACCGAGATCCTCGAGAAAAAAAGCACCCAAAGAACCAAAACCTTTAATTTCTGCAATAAAATGTCTCGAACTGCTCAACCGACTATATGATGATTTTCAGAAAACATTTAGCGATCGATTATTTCGTCTTTATTCAACTTAAATTGTACAAATATTCATCCAAAACCTTCACACCAGTTAGTTCTTCCCCAAAAAAGGTGGTTGAACGGGATCGGAAACAGTAGACAGGCGTAAAATGCGAAAAACATGGTTTTTCCCTATCTCGCTCTATGATTTTTGACCGGTTGAGCCGCCATTTTGAATCCTCGTGTTGGCGCGTGGCGTGCGTTATAGAATACAATCTGCCTCGTACCCAGGCGTCTCTTTGTAAAAAAACAGTGATGCCCATATGACGTGTTTACATGAAGTATTGTAGTGGGGAGAGATGGCGAAGGGGCTGATGGGAAGAGTGCACTTGAACTGCGAGACGCCTGGCAGTTCTTGGTCGATTTCTTGCAAATTTGTACGATTTCTTGCAAGATGTGCTATTTCGTTGTCGTTTACGATTTTTTGCTACTTGTTTTTGTTGAATTGACTAATGTTAATATTCTTATGTCATCCGGGCGTGAATTCATGCTGTTATTCTTGGTATATATGACATATATATGCCCTTAAAGTCCATGGAAATTCCAATATTAACATGTCAACAACCAAAGCGT